AGATGATGGAGCCATATGGATGACGGGAAGGAATGTCTTGATGTAACAGGAAATATAAAAAAAAAAGCAGTTGATAAATGGAAAAATGGTCATATGATTTGGGATTCAAATTGTCAGTAAGTAATTCCTGTTATGTGATGTTCAGTAATAAAAGAAATATTGAAATAGGAGAAATACAATTCTATGATCTGCCTATAAAGTGAGTTGTAGAATTCAGATATTTAAGAGTATGGCTAGATAGTTCATATACATGGAAAATGCATATTAAGCAGTTAGAAACAAAATGCAAGAAAGCAATATGCGTCATGAAAGCCATGGCTGGGAATGACTGGGAGGCTGATAAGCAGTCACTACTGAATTTTTACAGGACACTTATGAAATCAGCAATAGATTATGGATGTATGGTATATGGAACAGCAGCAATATCGACATCACAAATAGCAGATAAATTACAATATAGGTTATTAAGAATAGCTTCTGGAGCAACTAAGACTACCCCCATTAATGCTATTTTAGTAGAGGCTGGAGAAACTCCTTTAGAAATTAGATGGATCAAAATATCACTTTTGTACCGGATCATAATTAGAAGTAGTAGTGAAGGAAACCTAGCAGCAAGTATAATAAAGAACTATTGGGAATATTCCGAATTTACAAGAAAGGGCTTTGGCTGGACTGTGAATGAATGGGCAAAAATATATGAGTTAGATGATAAGACATTTTCTAAAAATAGAATAATATTTATGTTTCCATAAAGAAAAGTTCACTTGAAACTACATGAAATGAAAAGAGAATGGATACATAATGAAGGTGGGGTTAAAATTAGCTTATAGGTTATTTAGATATGGAATAGATGTTTAGTTCTGTCAGGTACCAACACATGAAGGGGTGAGAGGAACAAATTAACTAGCAGATAAGTTGGCTAAAAAGGCTTTGGGAAAGCAGATTATGGTTCAGATTCCATTTGGGAAAAGGCAGTGGTGTCAAAAGAACACACATTTTTTACTTAAGTAGAAGTATAGATATGTCATAACTTTTGTCCTGCCCTGTTTGTGTTCACTCTACCTCTCCTGATCAGCACTGATTGTTCCCACCTGGGCGGCTCTCTACTTAAACTCCTGCTCTTCCACTGTTCTGTGCGAAATTGTCTGCCTTTCAAGCCCTGCTTCATGAGCCAAGTATTACCCTACATATCTTTGACCACTGCCACAGTCCTGACCTTACCATTGAGTGAGTTTTATCCTTTCTGATTTATGATGAGCCTTGCAAAACTCTGACAATGATTAAGCCCGCTGGATTTTTGAAAACCCTCTGCCTGAGTGATCTTTTGTGCATGACCCTGGAGTGGAAAAGGATTTCAAACTGGATTGTGGATGTCTGTACCTCTGCTCTCTTTAACCCCCCCTCCCCAAGCCCTCAAGGTTCACTACCTCTAATTGGACCCTGCCCTGCTGGAGCTGAACCTGGTAATTCTTGTTTG